GAGTTGGCACATAAGCGCAGTGTGCATACTGCGCTGCCGCTCCATCATCTCAGCAACTTGCACCGCTGAAAAAGAGTCCTCTTCCGCCTCAACACCATCATTCAGCTCGCAATTATTAGCTCTTTTCCCTTTTGGAGGCATTTTAGTAGTTGTAGTAGTTGTAGAGTTTTTGCTCAGAGCTCAAAATCTTGATAATATGAAAAGAACAGAAGTGAATCGTAGAACAGACATAGAAGCAATAAACACGTCTGCTCTCGCTCGCAATCCGGAAATGATATATATATATATAGTGTTAGTAGACAGTTATAGGTTGCTGAGGGCTGATCACTGATCTGTCTCTCATGTTTCAAGATGTTAAGATCTCTGCAGGGGAATCCTCTCGGCAATCAGTCAAAATGGATGATAATAACTTTAGGTTGATAGAAGATAAGAAGACAGGGTATCATGGTAGCTAAAATGTGAACAGGGTTTTGCCTGTGTTTGCATGCCTCACCTTTCCAGGTCGTCTCGCTTCATGTCGTAGTTCTTGAGGGCTCGGAGCAGCTGAACATCCTGGCTAATAAAGCAGGGAGGCAGCAGACCATGGATCCCCAGCTGGAGACGCTCCTCCAGGGAGAAAGCCATGCCCTACAAACATACACACAAACAATCTCCATGATACTTTGCCATTATGTTCTGACAACTGTTATCCCAGTTGATTTTGTGTCTGAGCCCATTCAGGGCCCAGGCGCAAAAATCAAACACAAGACTGATTTAGTGACCTCTAGGCATCTGACTCCCCCAGGTTGATATACAACTCAGGATTGTGGAGTCTTATGATCAAATCCTAACAGAGGTGTTGGACAGTCTGCTCACAAAGCAAATTTGACTACAATTGAAGGTATACTGTAGTTCAACATTTTGTTTCTTGCCAAAGTTAAAAGACAGGACTGATGCCACGCTCATGTCTGTATGCTTAATTTGAAGCTACAGCTAGCAGGTGAGCTTAGCTTAGCTCTGGAAGCAGGTGGAAACAGTTAGCCTCATTCTGTCCAAAATAATTTAATTAATCTAATGTTGCTGTAAATAAATAAACAACTTGCATGGATTCCTACTCTTCTAATCCAAATGGTATGCACAGTTCATAATCTAAAAAAAGAAAAACTTGGTTTGCCATCCCTTGTACATATGCTTTAGTGTTTCTGTCCCTGGCCCTGCCTACTCTGACACCCTCCACTAGTGGACTAATAAACTTCACACTGAGATACACTCGACTCTGCTATGCTCTGAAAACTTTGTTTTAACTTTGAACAAATTAATATGTAGGAAAAATCCTGAATGACAAGAAATGCAGCAGGTCAAAAGTGTCCTGTTGTGTCAGGGGAGTTTGCTCTCAGGGGGGCCTCCTTTCACCCAGAGTTCAGAGAGGCTGCTGCTGGCTCACACACCAGTGTGACATCTCCTCTCAGCAGTTCAGAGCCATAAAAACACACACACTCACTGACTCACTTTGCCCTTTGCTTTGGCTTTTATCTTGCTCACCCCTGACTGGGAATACTGAAAAACATGGGCACGTTTAGTGTCAAGGTTGGATCCCTGAAGAGTCTGACCTCTGACCTCTGAGGTTATTCCACAAAGAAGACAATGATTTTGCTCAGGGGAGGTGACACATTAATGCCCCCAGTGCATCCTGTACAAGCACTGAATCCATATTTAAAATGGGAAGAACATTCTTCACTATTCTCTGCAAGTGAGACATAATATGATGGGCATTTTCTTTTTTCCACCCATCCATAATAGACCGGCAACCTGGTGTAACCTCAGCCCTAACTTGGCAACTACTGTTGCTGACTGCTAAGACAAAAGCAAAGCTCTACTCTGGATCACATCCATGGATGTCTGGCCCAACAGCCATAGTTGACAGCCTTTCCAAGCCACCAGCACTTTCTATGTACAGTACTGGACTGTGTGAGAGCTGTTCTGAGGTTGCGAAAATGTGCTTGATCACACGAGAGTCACTGTTACAGGAAAGTAGAAAAGCACACAGTATGGCACAGAATGCAGGCAGTTGATATTTGGTGGTTGAACCATCAGTACTGACCACAGGCACACACATATTATTAGACAGATTATTTTGGACAAAAAGACAGACAGATTCTAAACTGCTGATTTCATATTCTATCTCAGTGATTCTTGAGGGTAATGAGGTAAAGGAAACAAGCAAAAACACGTCATGTCCCTTTTGGCAGAACGTCTGAAAATAATGTGGTTGCTTACTGTATGTCGTTAATACAATAAGTTAACAGAGAACATGTAAACACCAATCCTCACTACCAACGTTATGTATTTAGTTGACAGTACTACTGTAAATTATCCGAGCCCGCCTAAAAAACAGCATTGGTTATTTCAGACACTAAGTACAAGTCCTGATCCGGCTGTCGTCCATCGAGGCTCAGTGTAGTCTGTACTTAACAGACCTCAAATAGACAGTAGCAGCTCTGTATTACAACCTTCCCCAATTATCAAAAAAGATCTATTTTTCAGAAAGCAGGCTGTTCACCTCAGACTCTGTGTGTGTTTTGGGGCAGCATCTGGCCCTCGAATCCCCGCTGCTGTGCTGTCTGCCTAGGCTGACCATGAAGTATATATGGAGAAAAGTCTCAAAATACATGCGGCAAAGTGAATTTAATATGAGGCTGCAAAATAAGATCCATTCCTCACACAGACCCATGCTGCTCTTTCATTTGCTAAGATAAGCTCAGAGGGGCAGCCGATTCTAACACAACACACACTTCAACGGTGAAATGCTAAAAAAGGAAACACACACACACACACAATGGGTGAGCCTTTAATTAGCTAAAACACACTTTGTCGATGTTGGCTTACACTTCCTTTGAGACAAACAGCCCTCTAATTATCACATACTGTGCTTACATTTGACTTTTCCAGTGTTTTCACAATTCTCAAGCTTTTTAGAATTTACTTTCACTCTTTTGACACCCGCTGGTCCTCTAGCATAATGGAGCACACAATTCAGTTCAATGACTAAGCTCATTATGAGTTAATACATTATCATACCTCAGCGAATATTTGAAATGATTTGTGAATTAATCACACAAAATGATCTGAAGTGTTTTTTGAGCAACAGTCAGTCAGCAGCCAGATGTTCATAAAGACAGATGTTCATTGTGGATTCTCCATCAGTGACCTCTACTGTACTTTGAGTGACGTGTACACAGCCTTTCTGCTGTTTGTCACAATCCGTGTAACATCCCCCATTGGGCTCAGAATGACCAAGTAAAAAAGCTGAACACAGGACAGATTGTGGAGGACACTGTGGTGAACATGGCTCACAGAATAAGCTAATGCCCTACACAACATGCAAAAATCCGACAGGCTAGTGTGTGTAGGCTAAACCCAGCTACTGTGTTCCCACCTTGTCTGTCTTGGTGATGCTTTATTCTGCTGTTGTTTCTTTACAAAGAGTAATGTGGTCATTTATGTAGTTTAATTAATAATTCTAGTTACACCCTCTGTGGTGTCTAATGGCCCTTTTGGTCATTTTTAATCGAGTTATTTTCTGGGTAACTCAAGGAAGGCTGTATATTTATAATTTATAGTCAGTTGTGTGCACAGGCTACAGAATGCCTGTCTTACAAGAATTAAGGAAATTACAGTTGAATCAGATATAAGGTTGGTAGGGTAGTAATGTAGGTATTATCACATCCAGTCAGTGTGAATGAAAAGGCCCATAAATGTGTCCCATGCCTCATGGCAAGTAAGATTAACAGTGCACAGTTTGTAGAGTTTTGTCAGGATCGTGCGGTACTGATGCCAGTTTTGACTCTTTCACACTGACATTTGGCTTGAATATTGCTTTTGCAATGCCCTTGTCCCAAACATGTAAATAGAATTGCCAATCTTTTCAATTCGAAGGTCCTGTCTGTCAGTCATCAAGGACAGACACCGTTTCAAAACAGGCCAGGGTAAATAAACTGCAACAATGGTGATTGAAGATGTTACAGGAAACATTTACCTCTTACTGTTGAAAATAATATTTGAAGCTTGCATTCAAACTCTCTTTTCTCCTTTAGTTTGGCAGAAATTGCCCTTAAAACTCAATCCAAAATTTCTGCTCCCTTAGAACCAAAGACCTCTAGCCTGCCTCTCATAAAAATACTTCAGACTTTTTGTTAATTCTGTGAACATTTTCTGGTTGGCTTGTAATTGGGAAGTGTGAGCCTAAACAAGTCAAACATGCAACATTCAAACAGATGATTCACAGATTCATCGATCATAAACAGAAGAAATGTTGACATTTCATTACCCGTGTTTTTTGGTTTATGTTCTTCAAAACCAAAGCATAGTGACAAATGTACATGCCCAAACATCCGAAGGCAAAAGCTCACAAACATGCACACCCTCATGTATACATACAAACCATCCCTGTGTTTGTTTGTCTGAATACAGGTTTGCAAATGTTTGACTGCTGTAATGCCTGCTCTCTTTCCACCTGGGAGCCCTCAACTGGGATGGGCAGGACAAACCCTAGAAAGCTTCCACATGTCCATGACCACATCTGAAGTGCTCGCACCCTGTGCCAGCACATGTGATGCCCACTGCTCCATGTTCCAGAAGCACTGGTTACAACCCAGACCTGTAATCTGACCGATAGGCTGTGCCAGCCCCTGACCTCACACTGTCGCCATGTCCACCCTGAAACATCCATCAGAGAGGAAACAGCTAATTAGTTCACCAGGGGCCAAACAGGAAAGATCAAACTGATAAAACCTTTCTGTGCTTCCCAGGCAGATCAAAGGCTGGGTTTGTTGCAACGTTTCACCATAAAGATTTAGAAATTCAAACACTCTGCTACCTTTTAATTTCCATCTCCCACAACCGCAGAGCTTGGTCTAACAGCGGGCTTGTACAGAGGCTGACAGCGGACAGTCCTTTCATTACAGTTACAGTATGGATATAGTTCAATTCCTTCATGCCACTGGAGGAGTGTGTTTCTTATCACAACACTAACATTTCTCACACACTATTCTCCTGTGATAAGCCGTGTCATGTTTCACTTTCTGTGTGAGAAGCATCACATGAATCTGATGGACTTTTCAGATCAGATCACATCCTGACTAATAAAATGGTCTCCAATCAAACAGTGTAACATTAAAAAGGCACACAGTTCAGTTTACCCATTAGCCTATGAAAATAGCTAGGGACGTTTTCTAAAGTGTGTGAACTCAAACCCTAGTCATGTCATCAGGTTATCTCATCTTGGACTGACATGGCATGCTAGAAGATTGATTTAGGCAAATGGAAGGACAATTTTAACACTCTATCCAGGTGTATTATGGGAAATGAAGGATTTTACCAGTAAGAACAAAGAGCTGAAACATCTTGACCTCTGCTGCTTTGGTTGACTATTTTGTAATCTGGCACTCTCAAGTGTGCAAACTTTGAAGAAGTGTAATACTAAATCTTTGAAGTATCCTACAAAACTTTCCTCAGCAAATATAGCAAATGTAAATCTATCATTGTACTTATAGTAGTGAATTTCTGGAACCTCAATCAAGATATCTTTTATAGATAAAATAACACAATGGTAGTGTCTGTTTTTTGGTTAATCCAGTGAATTCAGTACA